CTGGGCAGAAATCACGACCGACGCCTGGGTCCTAAGGATAGTCAGGAGTGGCTATACCATCCCTTTTCTGGGCTCGCCCCCTTCCAACCCGCCCGCCCCATCCCTTTTCAGGAACACCTCTCATGAAGGCACGCTCCGCCAAGAGGTGTTAGCGCTCCTCCAAAAGGGAGCTGTGGAGAGGCTCCCTTCACATCTGGAGGGCAAGGGGTTTTACTCCCGATATTTCATTGTCCTAAAACCCAAGGGCGAGGTTCGTCCCATCTTAGATCTCAGAGACCTCAACAAGGCGGTCGTGAAATCCAAGTTCAGAATGGTAATCCTGGCTTCTGTCATTCCGGTTTTACAGTTAGGAGATTAGTACGCAACTCTCGATCTCAAGGATGCATACTTCCATGTGGCAATAAGACCCAGCCACAGGAGGATTCTCCGTTTTATTGTTTCCCGATGCCACTTCCAATTTACAGTGCTCCCATTTGGCCTTTCAACAGCACCGAGGGTCTTTACAAAATGCATGGCAGTCGTAGTGGTGTTGCTCCGCAAAAAAGGGGTACACGTTTTTCCGTACCTGGACAAATGGCTAATTCGTGGTCGTTCCTCCAAACAAGTGGAGGCCTGTGTTTCCGTCACAAGGGCCCTGCAGGGGGGAGCCTGGTCGCCTCCCCTCTGCTGCGAGGCTCTGTGCCTCTGGGACCTGTGCATAGAGTACGACATAGTTTTGCAGGCAGAGTACCTGCTGGGGTGCAAAAACTTGCTGGCCGACGCTCTGAGCAGGTCCTTCGGAGCTCATGAGTGGTCTCTCAAGGACTCGGCTCTTCATCAGCTCTTCTGCAGGTGAGGCTGTCCCCTACTAGACCTATTTGCCTCGGCATGCAATACCAAGTGCCTGAGTTACTGCTCCCTGTTGGGGCTGGGGGAACACTCCTGGGGGGATGCCATGATGGTGACGTGGCCAGCGGGCATCCTTTTATGCTTTCCCTCTGTTTCCCCTAATTCCCAGGATTCTGATCAGGGTCAAGACCTTCAGATCCACAGTCACCTTGATAGCCCCTCGGTGGCCCAGACAGTTCTGGTTCCCTATACAGGTGGACATGCTCAGCGAGGAGCCTATAACGCTCCTGCTGCTTCGGGATCTCCTGACCCAACCTTGGGACGGGGGGACCATGATTCACCCGAATCTCAGCTCTCTCCACCTGACAGCCTGGTTTATCCATGGCTGACCCAACCGGAAAGGGAATGTTCCCAGGAGGTGCAGATGGTGCTCCTAGGTAGTAGGAAACCGTCTACCAGGCGATCGTACGCAGCCAAGTAGCAGCGCTTCTCATCTTGGGCGTCCAGAAGGGGAGTGCACCCGTCCTGTGCACCTGTCCCGTCCATTCTGGACTACCTCTTTGAACTTAGGTCCAGTGGCCTCTCTACCTCCTCTATCAAAGTCCATGTGGCATCTTTCTCCGCCTTCCATGTTGGTTCGGCAGGAGTTTCTCTGTTTTCTGACCCTGTCAAATGGTTCCTTAAGGGTTTGGATGAGTTGTATCCCTCAGTTAGACTCCCTCTTCCCGCTTGGGACCGTAACCTCGTGTTGTCTAGACTTGTGTCGCCCCTCTTTTAGCCGCTCTTTTGGCCACGTGTTCTTTAAAGCACCTCTCTATGAAGGTTGCATTCATTGTGGTCATTATGTCAGCTTGCAGGGTCTCCGAGCTCAGGGCGTTAACTGTAAACCTGCCCTACCTAGTGTTTTCTGACAATAATGTGAGGCTCCGCCCTCACCCAGCCTTTTTCCCCAAGGTGGTGTCATCGTTCCATTTTTCCCAAGAAATTTACCTCCCGGTTTTCTTTCCAAAGCCCCACACCTCCCCTAAGGAGCAAGTGCTCCATTCTCTGGTTTCTAGACGTGCACTAGCCTTTTATATTGATAGGACTAAACCCTTTCGCAAATCCACAATTGTTTATCGCTGTCACTGACAGGATGAAAGGGCTTCCCATATCGACCCAGAGGTTGTCCAGTTGGGTTGCGGGGTGTATCAGGGAGTGTTATTCCTTGGCCTGGGAGGTCCTGCCCTGGTTTACAGCACATTCCACCAGGGCACAGGCATTCTCTGTAGCTTTTGGGGCACAGGTTCCAATCACTGAAATCTGAAGGGCAGCCACGTGGTCGTTACTCCATACCTTTACGGCGCACTACGCGCTGGCACAGCAGCCATGGAGGACACAGGGGTGGGCTCTGAAGTCCTCAGCTCTGTATTGTAAATATGTTTGTTATCTGTGTCATATTGTACTTTTTACAGTTTTCTGTGTTCGCTTGGTTGAATAAATTTGTTTGGATTGTTCAACTTTCGTGGACTTCTCTTTCTGAGTGCTCTGACCCCTCCTCCTTGAAGTGGGGTTGGCTTGGAAGTCACCTGATTCGAATGGACATGAGCAACCACTCGAAGAAGAAAAGAACGGTTACTTACCTGTAACTGTTGTTCTTTGAGATGTGTTGCTCATGTCCATTCGACTCCCACCCTACCTCCTCTTTGTCGGAATGTCCGGCAAGAAGGAACTGAGGTGAGGCAGCGCCGGGAGGGGTATTTATGCCCCGCCATGGCAGCGCCACTCCAGGGGTCGCCCTGCCAGCGCTATGGGTACTGCTAGGGAAAACGCTCTGGAAGACGCAGTGCACGGGGTGCGCACACCTGATTCGATTGGACATGAGTAACACATCTCGAAGAACAACAGTTACAGGTAAGTAACTGTTTTTTTCTCAAACCCCAGCTGGCTCAGTGCAAACCTTTCTGTGGACCACCAGTTGCTAATGGAAATTCGTTGTTAATTGCATAATTATGCTTGGGCCATTTTGCTAGTACTGCAGCTATGGAGAACAGTTTAATTTAACCAGTAAGAAAGGAAATATTAATTTAAATTATTAAACAGACTAAGCACTTTAACTTTATATGGTTAGTTTATCAAACTTCATTTAAAAAATATAAATATTAATTTATGTCTGCACAAAAGGTTCCTATGTTTTCTTTATTTGTGGCAGGGGTGGGGAACCATTTTTGGGCCACTGACCCACAGAAAAATCAGTTGGGGACCACACAAATGAAAAGCAAAAAAACCCAATCCTCCAAAAACTGCCAACTCTTCCTGATGTGGCCCCCAGCTGAGACATCTCATTCCTCTGTCACTCCAGCCCCATCGGGGGGAGGGGATGGGACAGGGAGGACTGAGGTTCAGGGCTTTCCATAGGCCAGATTTACTCTTCGGGGGTTCCAGAGTTAGTGGATTTGGGGGACCCCCCCAGGCTCTGGGTTTGGGACAAAAATGGGTTGTTGAGTGTGTGGGACAGGGCTGCCAGCAAGAGGAATGAGGGTGCATGATCTGTGTGGGAGGTAGGGTGCAGGATCTGAGTGGGGATGGGATGCAGGAGGGGGTTGAGGGTGCAAGGTCTGAATGGAGGTAAGGTGCAAGAGCAGGCTGGGAGTATAGTGTCTGGCTGGGAAGGGGGCAAGAGCAAGGGAGGGTGTAGTGTGTGGCCAGGAAGGAGGCTGCAGGAGAAAGGGTGGCTACAGGAGTGGGCTGGGGGTAGGATGTCTGGCCAGGGGGAGAGGGCAGTAGCAGGCTGGAGGTGTGGAGTCTCAGTTGTGTGTGTGGGAGGGAGCTGGGTTGTGGGGTTCTGGGCATGAGGGGTGGGGGGCACTTGTCTTTGGGCTCTGCGCCAGTCCCGGACACTGACTCCTACTGCTCCCATTGGCCAGATTTTGGCCAGTGGGAGCAGCGGGAAAAGCCTCCAGGTAGCATGTCCAAGCAAAGCTTGGGGGGCACTACTGGGCATGCAGTGCAGGCAGCAACTTTTTAAAGAAGTGTGTAAACTGAGATGTTGGTATTCAGGTGCCCTGGAACACCTGCTTCTCAGGAATGGCCCCATGTCTCCTAGATACTTGATTAGCTGGAGGGGCTGCAGCCAGTCCCAAGGGGCCAGGCCACCACCCAGATCTGAGCCTGGGGCCTTGCGTGGCTGGGGCAGAGCCAGGACTGCATATGGAGGCAGGAACTGCTTTTAAAATGGAGCTGGACATTAAAGGGAAAACAAGAGCTGTGGGGTGAAGTCCTGCCATCTGCTTCAGGACCATGCTGAGCACTCACCATACTGCCAGGAACTCAGCCAGCCTTGGCCTGGTCTTGCCGGGCACACATGCTCTGAGCCCCAGGATGACCCCTGCCAAGAGCTCCTCTTCCCAGGCTTCGGTACTCTGTCCAAGAGATCTGCTTGGCTGGGAGGCAAGGGGGGTGAGCACTTCCCCTGCCTCCAGCAGTTACAGCATCAGCATTTCTTTGGCCCTGGGGAATGATGCTGCCTTCTGCTCCTCAGCCAGAGCTGGGGGGTGTCCCCTGCATCTGCTGCTGGGTTCTACGCTGCTCCCGCCTTCTTGAACAGCCTGTTCCCCACCTCCTGCTGGAAGGGAGGTGGGCTCAGCCTGGGGCCCACCCACATGAGGTCAGTCTAGGTTTTCTGTCCAATAAATTGTGTGTGGAGAGGGGAAAAAAAGATTCTCCTGCAGAGTACAGCGTGCTGGCTACTGCTTGGGCTGCAGCAGCTTGTGCTCCACAGGCTGGCTCCGGACTAGCTTCTCCTGCAAACCGGATCTGGCCCTTGTAGCTCAAGGTTCTCCCCTCCCTGCAGCGGGAAGCTGGTGCTGGTGCTCCAGCCTCGCAAGAGAGTGCCAGGCTTTAGCGCCAGCGCAGGCTCCCCCCTGCAGGAGAAAGGGGGGGGCTGAACTGCAGCTGCAGGCCACCTGCAAGGCAGCCATGGAGCCCCCCCTCGCTGACTGGGGGAACCGTGGGGGGGTGCATTCCTACCCTTTGCACCCCCATTGCATATGGGCCTGATCTGCGATCTGAAAGAAGCTTGTTGGGTGTGTTCACTATCAGCTGCTTCTAGTTTTACTTTCAGTAGTTATATGCACCCAAAAATAAAAAGTAAAAATACTGAATATTAAGTATTTTTCTTTGTTTTGTTTTAGGCTGAAAAACTTAATTATAAGGATAAGAAACTGAATATTGGTCCAGCAATAAGAAAGCAACAAGTAGGGATTCCTCGTATGTATTTTCACTATATTCTTTAGCTGTATGTGATATAAATATAACTCTTTTAACCAAAAATATCTTGTGTAGGATCTGTACTGTACTAATCCAAAGCATTGAATATAATTAGAATAGTCAGCAGGTGGAAGCACTGACATACTAATAAAAATGTCAAAAGAACCAGATCTCCAGGCACCAGCATTAGCCCCACAGTATGTTCCTTTGAATATTGCATGGAAGGGAAGTTTGAACTCATGGAATGTGACTGTAGTATGGCAATATTCCTCTTCCCAACTGCCACAAGCCCTTATGGTGACAGAGCATCAAAGTTAAAGACAGATATGTTTTAATTTCAGGAAAAGAGTAAGTGGCAGACTGCTGAATACAGCATTTTCCTATTGGGAACAAGCACGTGTTATATTGACATGGTACATATGCTGCTGTAAGGAACATTAACTCCCCATGTGTGATGTATGAAGCCATGTTTAAATGTCATAGCTGTTGAAGTATTGCCAGTGATAGCAGGTAGACTCAGATGTCCTGGAAAAGGCCACAGCCATAACAAGGCAGCAGTCATTGCATCATAGATATGATTTAAGCATGGCAAGACCCATTCATCCTACTGCCACATTGAAGGAGACTTATACACGATTATATATTGTTGGTATGTGTTCCTCTTATCTACTCCAGATGCTGCACCTAAGGGAGGCATGGGAATTCTGTGGATACAAAAGGCTCTTTGGCATATGTATGTTTAGTTATTCACTCCCCTTGCCTATTCTCTAGTGTCACCTGTCCCATATTGATACAGGAATGATGCATTACTTCTTCAGTTCTTCAAAAACTTTTCAAAACATTTTTTATGGTAAATGGCCCATTTTTGTGCACTTTTACAAGAGAAGGAAAATATTTCCGTACCTGTTATTGCAGTGAAATGCCTGCAAAAAAAGTAAACATAGTTTGGAGCTTGCATACACAAAATGCACCATGTTATGGATCAAGAGATCCCCCTCCATGTTCTTCTGGAACAAACACATTTGAAATACTCCATTTATTTTTGTTCAGCATATTACCAAAAAGATCAGACAAAGTGGTGGGAATTTAGAGAAAATCAGCAAATGTGATTAGAGACCTAGAGGAACTGACCTAATGAGAGAAGATAGGAAATATTAGGAATACCCCAACTAAGCTCTGACTAAGGGTTGGTGTGGTGTTTGAAAAATGTAAATACGATACCAACTACTTAGGACCCTGAAGGGCTGTAACCAGCAGCAAAATAATGCAATTAAAAATGGAAAATTTAGGCTGAATATCAGGAATGAGTTTCAGAGATTAAAATCTATTGGGGTATGGGATGATCTCACAAAAGAAGTAATAAAAGGCACATTGCTTGAAATATTCAGTTGACTATGTTGTACAAGTAAATGCGTTATAGGGAATACTGAATTGTTAGGCGATGGAATAGGGTTTCACTGTTTCTAGTTTCTATAAATTTATAGTTGGTCTCCCTCAGGTTTGGTTTAACAGTACTTATACCTGCAGGACTGGTGTATCTGATGCAAAACACAAACTTCTAAGAGTGATATCATTATCAAATAGTTATTTTTCCACCTTTATTTCTGACTTTGGTTAATAGCATTAATTGATTGTTTATTTTCCTTTTTTTACATTTTATTTCTTTCAGTGTTTCTAATATTAGGGTCATGATTTGTGATGATTAGATAATGATGTTTCATTTTGACCTGAATAGATAGCTTTATTTTCTTGTATCCAAAGATTATTTATGATACTTTATTATTAGTAGTTTTTAGTTACTGTAAACTAGAGCTAATTGAAAAACAAAACTTTAATGAAAGCTTGGTTTTTTTTTATGTTTAAAATGGCTGAAAAAATTGTCAGCATTGGGAATTTGGAAATTTTTCAATAATCTGTTAAGATTATTGCAATTTAACACAAAATAACATTCAAATACGTATATGCTTATCCAAAATTGCATGCTTGTTGCTTTATTTTCCATTTTTGAAGTTTTGGGAAGACTCTGAAAACATACTGATGAAGTGTCCTGGCAAAGAGTGTGAATCCATAGATGAAAGGCTTATCTTATGCAGGACAGTCATATTTAGTACCTTTGCATTGTAATTGTTTTATCAATATTACAGAGTTTTGTATTACAAACTGAATATAAAACACTTTGTTCTTATCCAAGGGTCTCTGTGTTGTATCTTGTGGGTTTGGTAACTCCTGATATTGAGCTGCCAAAGGCTACGTCTAGACTGCCAGCCTTTTTCGAAAGATACTTTCGAAAAAGAGCATCTAGACTACAACCAGTACTTTCGAAAAGACAAGCCACTTTTTCGAAAGAGAGCACACAGGCAGTCTGGATGCTCTCTTTTGAAAAAGCACAGTTTGCATTATATAGTGCCTTTTTTCGATAGAGCACTTTTGGAAAAAAGGCATTATTCCTCGTAAAACGAGGTTTTCTGTGGTCGAAAAACTGCTGCGTTCTTTCAATTTACTTTTGAAAGAATTCAGCAGCAGTCTAGATGCAGGGAAAGTTTTTTTGAAAAAAGGCCACTTTTTTCGAAAAAGCCCTGTGGTCTAGACTCACCCAAACTGCCTTGAAAAGTTATTTCCCCTGGGTATACACAAGAATGACATCCTCACCCTACTCTGTATAACAGAATACACATCCTACTCAGCTCCTTCACTGCTGCTGCAGAGAGCAGACAGAACTTACCAGATCCTGTCCTCAGGACTAGACTACCTTATAATCTTTTATTGTAAGCTTGTAAATAGTTATCAGTGTTTAGTTCAGTGTAGTGTAGTTAGTTAATTTTAAAACCGTGCAAGTAGCCATTCCCTTGTTCTCTGTCTGGGTATCTTTACCAGAACTATGGCAGGTGCTGAGCTTGAGGAGGCTCTTGTCCAAGGTATTCCTGAATCAGATGCCCACATCCATTCTTCTGGTTTTGGGTAACATCGTCTTTCCTGTCATTGCCATGCCTTTACTCCCCAGGCCAGAAGGGAGAGAGACCTTAGGTTTTAGACTCATCTGGCCTCAGAACATCTTCAGCTGGAAACTCTGACCGGCCCATGACTGGTGTCAAGGCCACGATGAATCCTGAGGTTCTCTCCTCTGTGACAAACTTTTCTACTTGAGCTTCTGTGCCATTTTTCAGCAAAGGCCAAGACTGGAATCTGCTTGGTGACTCCCTGAGCCATTGCTGCTCAGTTCTGTAGCATCAAAATAGTTTATGGCACAACACTAAAAACTGATACCGTTGCATAAGGCTTGAAAATTCCCAGGTTGAATCCTTCCGGCAACACTGCCCTTTCCACCAGCATAAAGTCCTATATTGGAGTATTTTGGAGTCTTTTAATGGCATAGTTGTCTCTTCATTACACATCTTGGCATAAATCAGCCTGCACAGGTCACTACTATAGATCCCAAGAACCTTGTCTCTCTTCCAGTACCTTAGTGAAGAACCATCACTGAGGTTACTGTCTATTCCACCACTTACTTTCCCAACACTTGGCTCTGTTTCTGTTCCTGTCTAATTAAAATCTCAGAGGGTAGCCATGTTAGTCTGTAACTGAAAAAAACTTAAAAAATAAAGAATAGTTTTGCAGCACCTTAGAGATGAATAAAAAATGTAGATGGTATCATGAGCTTTTGTGGGCACAAGCCATTTCTTCAGATGAATGGAGTAAGGGGTTTAGGGTACAAATAAATAGCAGAGAAAGAGAGGGTATGGGGAGGGAAAGGAAAATATAGGGAAAAAATACTTAGAGTGTCTGTGCTAAAATGAGGCTAATAGAGTGAGCTGTGAGTTTCTGGTGCTTAGCTTTTTATGTCATTAGGGTGTGGAATGTAGCAACCCATCCAGCTCAGGACTTTGTTCAAACGTTGATTACAGGTTTCAGACTTGTAAATGAAACCAAGTTCTTCAGCTTGTCTTTCCAGGTGTTTTTTGAAATTGCTTTGTAATAGTACAGTCACTATACTAATTAAAATCTGCAATTGTCTGAGAGTAGCTTTTACACCATTGTAGATTATTTTGAAGAGTCCCCAAACTGACATCAGGAAACTGAACCACTTTCCTCTCCTTAAATCCTGGTTTGCAGGGAATTTAGCTGTCAAGCATATTAAACACAGATCTGTATTTTCTGATTGTACTGTCTCTGTGTTCTGCAAATATGTTTTCTTAGACAAGGGAGAAACATTGTCCAAAATTTGGGAACTTTAAACCTTGCTCTAGTTAAACTCATGGGTCCTCCCTTTGAACCCCTCAAGAAAATGTATTTGGTGCATTGGTCTGTAAAGATAGCTTTTCTTAAAGTCATCATCTCTGCAAAGAGAGCTGGAGAATTGATGCATTAATTGCTACACTACCATATAATTAGGTACATAAGGGCCAGGTGATTGTGAAGCCCAATCTTAACTTCCTGTCCAAAATGGAGTCGGATTTCCATTTACCTCTCCATCAGCTTTCTTTCCTAAGCTTGACTTTAAACTGGGGAATTTCACCTACATAATGTGTTAACCCTATGGAGTACCAAAGCCTTTAGAAAATCCAATTAACAATTTACAGTTTACAAGAGAAGATGTTAGAATTTATTAGCAAACAAAGGCTGTCACCATGGATTAAAAAAAAGATATATTGAACTGTCACATTTTAGCTAGAAACATAGTTCCTGTCTAGGATTTAAAATGCACTCCACCAGATGGTGCAACATCTGTGGTTTGTTTGAGATATTTTCCTGTTGTACACAGATGCAGGGCAGTAACATAGAGTAGATATAGAGAATATAAAATTTGATTCATGTTGGAAAAATAAAATGTGCTTTGGAATTTTCCATTACTTGTTTTAAAATCTGTAAATTTGTTTAATTTTATTTTCAACCATAATTGTTCATTTTAGGATCTAGCATAATGCCAGCAGCCGGAACAATGTACTTGACCACTTCAACTGGATATCCTTACACTTATCACAATGGAGTAGCTTATTTTCATACTCCTGAAGTTGCATCTGTTCCACAGCCATGGCCTGTAAGTAATATCTGAAATATTATAATATTAGAATACTGTATTTGTCTCACAACTGGCTTATTGGTAAGATTCTGTTCCATAAAGCTTGTTTCCATATTCTTCTTTATTGTATTTTCCATCTTTTATTCTTTCTTCTCTCCTTATTATACAAAACAGATACAGTTCTGAAGAGAATTAATTACTACTGTGAAAAGTGCTCACCCACATATGATATGGTAGTTGTGTCTCATCATTTTTCTGCATTAATTCATTTGAGAGTGTAGTGATTGTCTGGTTTCACCCACATAGTTGTTGTTTTGGCATTTAGTGCAAATGTTGTGATAGGCATGTGTAAGACCAGTAGATCTTGAAATGCATGTTGTGGGGGGTGTTGATCATCATAGTAGTGAAGCTATATCTACAAATTTTGCATCTATTGTTCTGGCACGTGGTGTGCCACTTTCATTTGATGTGTCCCAGTCTGTGTGGAGCTTGTTTCTGATGATGAGCATGGAGAGGTTGGGGAGTTGATGAAGGCCAGAAAAGATGGTTTGGGAAAGATGTCTTTCAGGATGTGGTCCCTATCAAATATGGATTGTTATTGTTTGGTGTTATCCTGTAGGGCTTCCAAAGTGGGATGGTAAGTGACAACTAAAAATCATGGATTACATTGAGAAACTGGTTTTATGATTTATTACAGTAATCTATAACTCACTGTCTCCCCCCCCCCCCTTTTTTCCATTTCCCCCAATAGGTGAACAACCACCAACATTACCACCTAGTGGTCAGGTGGAAGGTGGCAGGTTGTCTCCCCTTTAAAAAAAATCATCATCTTCAGCCTCCTTCTCCACCATCTCCCCCTTCCCAGAGCAGCTCCAGGGGAGACCTTACTGCAGTGCAGCTGTGTCTGTACAGCTGTGCCACTGTAAGCTATTTTGTGTAGTTGTAGCTTCGGACTACATTCCCTAGACCTGACAAAGAGCTCTGTGTTCATTCAAAAGCTTACTACTTTCATCAACAGAAGTTGGTCCAATAAAAGATATTACCATACCCATCTTCTCTATCTACGTGTATTTTGACAGCTAAGGAACTGGCTGCTTTTCTGAATGTAACTGCATCATATAATGTAATTAAACTGTCTGGAGTTAACTGGTGATCATTACTATAGCTTACATTGTTCCTGTTTTACATTATGTTAATACTTTTTACATTTGCCTTGTCCTAGGAAGTCTTTGACTTTTAACATGCATTATATAACAAGTATACTTAGTTTCAGTTCTCACTTTATTTGGCCTCATCTGTTTTTTAAAATATAGAATAAAGGATGAGACATTATAGATCAGAAAGAAATTCATAACAGAAAACTATGTAGAACTGTTAAAGGTTTTGGCTATCAGTAAGAGCAAAGAAATTGGAACTCAGGACGGCTGAGTTTTTTGATAACATGAAGTCACAACTGGTCCAGTCTCTGTCAACTGAATAGTAATAGAAATGTAGCCGTGTTAGTCTGGTGTAGCTGAAGCAAAATGCAGGACTATGTAGCACTTTAAAGACTAACAAGATGGTTTATTAGATGATGAGCTTTCGTGGGCCAGACCCACTTCCTCAGATCAAATAGTGGAAGAAAATAGTCACAACCATATATACCAAAAGATACAATTAAAAAAAATGAACACATATGAAAAGGACAAATCAAATTTCTTACAAAGATAGCTTCCCCAATTATCACCTCTAATACCATTAGCTCACAGACATCTGCCTTTCCCCACCTCTAATATCATTAACTCACAGACACTTACCTTCCTTCCCCCCTCCCCCCGCATCGCCCTTCTGGTCTGAAATGTGATTTGTCCTTTTCATATGTGTTCATTTTTTTTAATTGTATCCTTTGGTATATATGGTTGTGACTGTTTTCTTCCACTATTTGATCTGAGGAAGTGGGTCTGACCCACGAAAGCTCATCATCTAATAAACCATCTTGTTAGTCTTTAAAGTGCTACATAGTCCTGCATTTTGCTTCAACTGAATAGATACCTGTCTACTGTGACCACAGAATCCCAAAGGCTGATAAACTCCCCAGGTTTGATAGTAATTGATAACTGTTCCTTGCTTTGGATTTCTCAAACTTACTTCTCAGGTGCAGACCCAGGCCTGGTCTAAACTAGCAGTTCAGACCGAATTTGGCTACATGAGGTCAATTTTCTAAACAATACGTCCACACTGCCACGCCTGTTGTGTCAACATTAAGGGCTGCTGAAGTTGATTTCAGTACTCCTGCTGTTCATGAAGAGTAATGCACAATTTGACCTTGCATGGTTGAATATACAGTAGTGTAGACCCAAGACTAAAGAAGTCAGTTATTGACCTCCAGGAGGCATCCTAGAGTCACCCACTCTAACCACTCTGGCCAGAACTGGCACCTCTACTGGTCTCAGGTTGAACAGGAAAAGCCCCAGGAATATTTGAATTTAATTTCCTGTATGGCCATTGTTTTGAGTACATCTTAGAGTGAGCTGCATACCATGGCACACATGGCCATGACTTAGACAAATTTAAGTACTCCTGTTATTTTGAATACTTCTACTCCCATGGGCTCCAATTCCCAGGGTGCAGAAGAGTGCTATGGTGAAGTGTCCGGAAGATCTTGGGCCTCTTTGAGGTGTTGGGAAAGGAATCCATTCTCTCAGAACTCTGAACCAGCAAGCAGAACATGGACATTTATGCGAAGATTGCAAGCTGCTTGGTGGCTAAAGGCTATAACTGGAACTCCCAGAAGTGCTAAGTGAAGATCAAGGAACTGTGGCAGTCCTACTGCAAGGCAAAGGAGGCTGCAAGCAGCTGGATGTGATTCTTGGGGGGACCTGACCAGCTTCCCTAGCCTGACTGTTGAGTCTGGCCAAGACATTCTTGGTGTCAGCATGGAGGACAGCATGGTAGCAGAGGGTGAGGAGGAGGAGGAAGAGAATGGCCAGCGGGTGATCAAGGAAAGCCAAGATCTGTTCATGTTGGTGGAGCCCAGTCCCCTCCTCTCAGGATGTCTCCCAGTCGAGCACTGACCCCGGGAGGGCACTTCTAGTGAGTTCACAATTTTTTTCTTACTACAGGCATGTTAATGCAATTGGTTGTGATGTGCAGTGTGCACGGAGGGAGGGCATCTTGTTAATGTTTCTGCAAATTGGATGGAAGTCTTCCCTCTACATCTCCATTAAGCTCTCAGATAGGAACTCTTTGATTCTTCTAACAAGGTTTTTGGGAGTGGGGGCTAGCCTTATTCCATCCTCCCCAGTAGGACACCTTACCACACCATGCTGCCAGTAAATGGTCTGGCGTCATTGAACCACAAAGCAGTGCAGGATAAGGCCCAGGTTTCTGGCCATGTTCAGTCAGCATCTGCTCCCAATCACTGTGGGTATGTCTAGACTACATGCCTCTGCCAACAGAGGCATGTAAAATAGGCTACCTGACATAGTCAATGAAGTGGGGATTTAAATATCCCTGGTTTCATTAATATAAAAGTGGCAGCCGCGCTGTGCCGGCTCAGCTGATCATCGGCACAGCGTGCGAGTCAAGACGCCGATCGGTCGACAGGGGAAGCCTTTGTCAACCGCTCCCTTATGCCTTGTGGAACACATCTCGATTGTCTTTACAGAGCACTTCAGTGTGGGCTGACAGATTAGGGTTAGGCTTAACACAATGTATCTCCAGTAATGTGTTCCCTTGTAATTTTTCATTGCAGCTGGAATTACTGCCAGTTCACTGCATATTTCCCCTCTTACTGCATCTGTCTGCCTGACTCGGATCTGCAGGTGAAAATGCACATGGGAGGACATGATCAGGGAGCAAAGGGAGTGCATGAACTCCCTCATGGAGGAGATGCGGGTAGAGCGCCAGAACCAAATCGCTGAATGCCAGAAGAGGAAAGCTGCCAGATAGTAGTAGGCGAGGCAGCAGGTGACTATCTTTGCCTCCCTGACAGCTGTGATGGAGCACGTGGCAGCATGTCTGGAGAGGGCTTCCTCCCAGGACCCCATCTGCCCCAATAACAACACCTGTCCCTTCTCCCCAGCTCTGTTGTTCCCCCCACCCCCAAGATCCACCAGGGACCCAGGACATGGGGGGAACTTAAGGGCAACCCTAACCTCCAGGACTTCAGGACGTAAAAGGGTGTCTGGCTCACATTTTTCAGCCCCCCCTTCCCTCTTCAGGTTTCCACTTCTTTCATTTCCCTGCTCTTTTCCCCAATTAAAAACTCTAGTTCTTTGAACAACAGTCTCTTTATTACTTGTTCTGCAGTTGAGGCATGGGAGATTAAAGGCAAACATAGGAAATGGTGGGGCAACTTGTTGAGAGCAACATGGAAGAGTCTCAAAACTGGCCATTCATATGTTCAAGGCATCTCTGATTTGTTGCCTCACACTGTGTTCTCCTTATTGCCCTGGTTTCCGGCTGCTCAGAGACTCTGCCTAGGTACTCTACTTCAGCACCCTGCCCTGCTTCTTCAAAGTTTCCCGCTTCTTCAAAGAGTGTCCCTGTGAGTGCTCCACCTTAGGTGTTGTGGCGCCATTGCGCGTCGACATGGAGATTTATAGTTGCAGTGCTCTCTGATGTGCTGTGCATGCGTGGCAGACAGCAAGCGCCGTGCCACTACCATGCATGTTTTCTGCAGGCTTTCTATCCCCATCTCCAACGGTCACTCCAAATGCGTGCGCTTCCTTGGTCAGACACACATTACAGCACAGTGCAAGCACTGCAAACAGCTCACAGCTCGCACAAGGAAGGCACAGCAGCTCCAATTGAAACTTCTGTCACTCGAGAACATGGTAAGACTGGCTACAGATCCAGAGCATTCATCTCCCCTGTGCCAACCATCACCCCCTGGCCATGTCTGAAAAGTCAATGCTGGCCAGCATCTCCTTGAGGGACTCTTTCTCTGACCAGAATAGGAAGAGGTCCCTTTCCTCCAGCAAAGGTGCCTCTCCCTCAAAAAAACAGGACCAAGTGTCTAAACTGCCCCCTGCTCC